CAGCTGACATGACATGAGCTGGGCCGGGCGCTGTGACTCACACCTATATTCTCAGCTCATTGGGAGGATCGTTTGGGCCCAGGAGTCCACGGCCAGTCTGGGCAACATAGTGAGACCTTGTTCCTACAAAAACAAATGAGAGAAATCACCAAGCTGAAATGATGTTAGATGACCTTGAAGGTCACAGCAAAAATGCGCAGCATGGCCTGGGAAGAGCATCAGGAGTGAGAGGGACTGGCTTAGGGAGAATCTCTGAATTCCCTAATGGCCGGAGCATACTTCTCAAATGGACCAGTCATTTCAAATCACAGCGCCATTCCTACTGCGGGTGACCACAGTCTGCAGCCCCTTTTATCTCCCTGGGGTCATCAGCCTCTCTCAGCAGGTGGGTGACACCCAGACTCTTTCAGGATGTGGGCTGCCCCAGGGCACGGAACTTGCCTGCTGTGTCACTGGTGTGCCTGAGCACCCACAAGGTGTCTGGCTAGAAGCCAGTAGTCAAGAAACATTTGTGGAATCAGTGATTGGATGAATAAAGCCCGGCTGCCATCCTACTTACAGATACAGGAAACAGGACGGGATCAGTTTCTGCACAGCACCTTTCCCTCAGTCCTCGTCAGACTCAGATTCCATTCAAACTCTCCCAAGCTTATAAAGAAGGAAAGGAAAAAGGAATAGGAAGACAGGCCAGAAAGAGGCAGAAAAGGCCCTCGACATCCTGATTTCCTGTGCGACATCCTTCCCGGTGGCCCAGAGCCCTGAAGTGTCCACAGCAGCTGCGCTGCTGAGTAGCGGGGCGGTGGGGGGGTTGCTACCACTGCAGGGAGGAGGAAGAGGAGCTGCCTGCTGAGACCCTGAGAAGACCTGGCCTCTTCGTAGCCTCTGCGCCCATGCCTCTCCGGGAGTCAGGCAGATGCAAGTAAAGCCCCCGGCAGCTCTTGTCCATCAGCCGAGAGCAGGTGGTTCTGTTAGAAGCATTTCTTCCAGAGTGATGTACAGAGCTCGTGCAAGCAGCGACTATTCAAAAACAGAACCTGAGGTGAGGCCCACAGCCTTTTCCTATTTAGGATATGGCCCAGATCCTGGGAGCTGTTTCCTTGTGGTATGTGTGGGGCTGTAACTGGCCTCCCAGTGACCTGAGAGCTGCCTGCCCTGACTTAGTGAAGACTTGGCCTTGGAAATGATTGCATATCTTTCATCCCGCTTTGAGCTGGAAAGTCCCTGTGGGGTTGTTGGTACACTAAGGCATGTGAAGTAGGGGGCCGGCGTGGGGCCAGCCAGCCTCACAGGCAGGGTGCACTTCCGGCTTTGCCATCCAGCACTTTGCGAAGTGCTTGTCCACATCTGCACTCCTGCTGTCTCCGGGGCCCTGCCATTAGTTGATGAGGGAGGAGGTCACAGGGCTGTCGTCCCTGGCCAGGCCCCCGCTGTTACTGCTTTCGCTATCTTGCTTTCTCATTACCATCTGATTCATCTGACAGACAGCCCCTTGCTCAGGACGGAGAATCAAGGATGCTGATTGGTTTGGGGAGGGGGGTGTTTATGCTTATTGTTTGGGGGGGGAGTGTGTATGCTGATTGTTTGGGGTATGTATGTGTGTTTAATTTCCCATGGTACTTTGAGGTGAAGGGCTGGGAATGTGGAGCTTATGTTGGCAGTTGGTGAGTTTGGGGTTCTTGCCCAGTGTCCTCTGGGTGCCACCTTCCCTTTCGAAACACTGAACCCCCGTGAAGACCTCGCCCCTGGGAACGGCCTGCCAGTGTGCTTCCGTGTCCTTGTCTCACCACAGGGTGTGTTGGGGCTCGTGTGGACCTGGTGGGTCTCCACAGGAGCGGCAGCTGCTGCTTCCCACCATCCCTGTTGCACCATCTCCAGCACAACATTTCTGCAGGTTTCACAGCCCAAAACACACTTTCTCTAGGGACTGGCGTGTGAAGGATCTGAACAATTCTGAGTGCTTCTGGTTTCTTTTTTGTTGGTTGTAGCCAAGCCCAAAATTAAATCAGCATTTCCACTCCCAGAGCTCCAGCCCTGGGCCTGGACTGCCAAGTTCTGCTGCCTGATGACCCGTTAGTCTGCAGGGTTTGCAGCATTTCCAGGGCAGTGACAGGGGGAGGACTGAGTGTCCATCGTCCAGTGCCAGGTTCTCTGCTCCAAGAAGCTTTTGTGAAGTGCTGTGTCCCTCAGCTAGCAAATTACAGTGAGGAGGAGATTATGGTGAAGATGCCCAAACGGGAAGGCAGATAGGACTGTGCCTGGTTTTTCTTCTCCATGTCGTAAGTCTAGCGACAGCATGGTAATCCCCTGAATGATTCTTGGTCCCACTGCTCACTAGCTGTGACCTGAACTTGAGTTACTTCCTTTGCAAAATCATAGTGCCTCCCCCACAGAATGTATTTTTTCCAGCTGGCTAAGTCCATATGCCTCCAGAACACCTTTCTTGACTCTATCGATGTCCTAACTCGCCATCTTTACGTGGTCCCATGACGGCGTGCGTACTTCAGTCGTGGTAGTTGACACGTTGCGCTGAAATTGTTCCTGCAGGACTGTCTCCCAGGCGCTAGCCTGCAGCTCTTTTAGAGTGGAGAGTCTTAATCTGCGTTGTTTTCCATGGTCCTAGTAGAGTTCTTGTGGGACAATCCACGTTACCCACGTCAAACAGACGCCACATGTTTTCCTGCGTGTTTGTTCACTCTACCTGAAAATGCTTGGATCGGAATTGGTGAGTGTTCGTTGTTTGCTTCTCTGAAGGGGTAGTTATTCCGTTTTTCTTCTCCCTTCTAAAAGAAATGCCTGTTTTTATTCCATGTTTATGGAATTCCCAGAAAGCTGCTTCTTGGGTAGTTGATTGACTTTACCTCCCTTTCTCGTGTTTCCATTTCATGGCAGGTGTCAAAAATAAATGATGGAAAGAATCAAATGGCGCTGCAGTCAGGGTATTCTCAGCCCTCTCCCCTTCGTTATGGGGAGGCCGTGGGATTTGATGAGAAACGGGATGAGCAGACTGGGATTTGGGAATGGTGAGCTGGTACAGTTAGGGCCTTTGCTCTCCCAGGGCACAAGTGATCCCAGGTAACCTTCGTCAGACAATGACCTGAATTTGGACATGAATACCCCACTGGATCTTGTTTTTCAGTAAAGATGCTCTAGTAAATAAATGTGAAGGATGCCAGTAATTCCAACAGTTGTGCCGAGACTTTATCCTGTGACTGCCAGTGTTCATGGAAAGCTCTTTCTGAGGCTGTCGCAAAGATGTTCAAACACTGCCCACAACAGAAGTGCAGGCTTTCAAAAAACACTTGTGCACAACCTGACATGCCACAAAAGTTGCTGAGTCACCCGCCGCTTTCCTTTAGCCGGGTTTTGCCTGATGGAACACCTGCCTCTCAACACAGGCTTGTATGACGCGGCATCCCAAAACCCAGTGTGGTCTCCTAGAGCTTGGAATGTTGCAGGAATTACTGGCCTGCTCCCTCCGGCATCTCTGCCCCTTCCCCGCCTCCTTAAAGGTCTGGTAACACCAGGCTGCTGCCACATGGCACTGCACCTCCGCCCTGTTTCTCAGTAACCGGAGCCAGTGCACGTGGCATACCTGTGTAGGAGGACACACGTGGTGGTGGAAACATGACCGGACACCAGACTTGCCACTTCACTCGTGTTTCCTGGGCATTCCCAGGAGGGTCACCATGTGTGGGGGGTGCAGGGTCAGCACGCACCCCCACGTGTGTGTGTGTGTGTGTGTGTGTGTGTGTGTGTGTGTGTGTGTGTGTGTGTTTCACTCGGTGTTCGTGGCGGCCCTGGGAGGTCGGTGTTGCCATCATCTATGGATGTGAAATGTGCCCCAAGGAGTTCTGTGATTTTTCTAAGACCCTTCAACTTTGGAGCCAGGCGTGTGACCTGGGGTTGCCTGCCTCCACCTGGTCCTGGTGCTACTTGTATTACAGAGGACACACCCGAGGACACATGATGGGCCTCCTCTGACCAGAATCAGAGGACAAGGGACATCAACAGAGAATAATGGTGGTGATAAGGGAGGCAGCAGAACTCCTCCACATTAAAGGAGACCAAAGCACAGTCATAAAATTTACTTTTTAAAAAGTCCAAGTCCATAGCAGTACCTGAAAGTATAAAGAAAAAAATGGGAAAAGTGCTTCTTTACCAAAGAATGGTAGTGGAGGAGGAGTGATGAGGTTTTAAAATCACCGTGTTGTGACCCCCTCTGCACACGCAGGACTCCGGCCAAGGTCGCCAGTGATGCTGAAACCGCAGGGTGAAAAGACCCACAGAGGGCTGCTGGGGAAGTGTGCCTGCACATTGAAAAGAGGCCTGGGTGCCACTTGCATGAGCGGCCGGGCCTGGTGTCCTTCCTCTGAGCAGCAGTGCTGCCATAGGGGTGGCATCACCCACGTGGCCTTATTAAACAGGAAGTTCCTTACCTAACCCGTCAGGAGACAGGTCCATAGCATGGGATGTTCTGCAGGCAGCTGGCAGGCCCCTTCAGTGGCAGGGCACACAAGCCTGATGGGGGCAGATCCTGGGATTCTGTGGTGACCCACAGCAGGGGACACACCTGGGGCAGCCCACAGTGGGGCGTGAGCCTGGTGGGGTCTTGGATCCTGGGGCAGGCTGCAGTGGGGATGCCCTTCTCAGGCAAGGCTGCTTCAGGGACTCCTGGCTGCCTGCAGCCTGATGCGCCCCTCACCACCAGTCACCCTGTGAGAAGGCTGCATCTCCCCTCTAAGGGCTGGGGTTCAGGGGGATGAAGGAGCGAGAACGCACTTACCTGGAGGGCAGACTGGGCCGCACTCCTTTCTCCTGCGTAGTGAAGTTCCCACTCTGAGGCCAGGGGCCTTTCCTGGCCTCGGGCAACTTGGCGAATGCCCTGACCTTCGACGTGCCCCATGCTCTGGCGCAGGGCCCGCAGCCTGGGTGTCAGCCCCCACCCCCACGCCCCATCTGTGGTCGGGGCTCAGCACGGTGCTTCTGTGCTTGTCCCGCAGGTTCGGGCGTGAACGGCCTGGAGGAGCCCAGCATCGCCAAGCGGCTGAGGGGCACCCCGGAGCGGATTGAGCTGGAGAACTACCGCCTATCCCTGAAGCAGGCGGAGGCGCTGCAGGAGGTGCCCGAAGAGACACAGGCTGAGCACAACCTGAGCAGTGTGCTGGACACGGGCGCCGAGGAGGACGTCGCCAGCAGGTCAGCACACAGGGCTGCAGGGTGCCCACCCACCACGCGGCCCTAAGAGCCTCCTCACCACTGTGTGCCTCTGTTTCCCCTCCGTGAAAGGACGTAATGCTAGTTGCTTCCTCACAGAACTGGCATGCGAGGGGAGTGAGCCTACGCGCTGACTGTTGAGAGCAGCACTTGGCTCAAGGAGGCCCTGCAGGTTACACGGCACAGCATCCATGCCAGTGGCCTCACTGGGTCTTCCTCACAGGAGCCCCATAAAGTAACCAGGAAGCTGTTAGTGACCACAGCTGGGGTCACCGAGGCTGGAGCTGAGATTCCAACTCAGGCTTCCCCGGGGCCAGCCCAGGAGATCTGCTGTCTTCTCTGCTGCCTGCAGTCTGTTCTCCCAGTCCCTTTTAGGTTCTCAGCCCCATCCTCCATCAGACTCAGTTCAGAGATTCAGGAGATACTTATTCCTTCCTGACATGTCCCCAGCTCCGAGTTCGTCATTGGGAAGGAAAGTGGCAGGCTCTGCCCCCAGGTGGTTCACAGAATCAGCAGAGGGAAGGACAGGCACAGGGGAAGGACTTTGGGTGACTCAGCCGCCAGCACACCAGGCTATCTTGAGGAGGCCAGCTCATCTCTCCAGTGGGTAAGGAAAGGGGCTGAAAACTTGTGCCCCAGGGCCACATGCAGTACCAGTGGATGCATGCTTAGCCAGTCCCGGAGCTGTAATCATGTCCAACCGGGTGACGCCTGTGGGGTGTACATGCTCTGACCCCAGGACCCCCTGTATCTGCTGTCCTGCACCCCAGGGCTTCCAGTGTCAGCAGAGACAGGTTCAAAGTGCTCAGCCAATTACAGATGACCAAGAGAGCCAAGAATAAAATGAGTGGCCCGTGTCTTGCAGGGCTTCAGGACAGGGACACAGGCTGCAACCCCGAGGGGCGTAGGCTTCAGTGGCCTGGAAGAGCATTTGAGCCACACACCAGTCACCTTGATTTAGCCATGATGAAGGGAACATGTGGGGATAAAGAGAACAGAAGGTCCAAGAACGCTTTCCAGAGGGTGTTTGCTGGGCCGAGCTGCTTTCAGCTGCACCCGCCACCTCAGCCCTCATGTCAGAGACCCTCTGACTGGACCCGGTCTTGGGCAGCCTCACAGATTGCACCTCCATGCATGCCGGGGACAGCCTCAGCCTTGGCGTCTGCAGTTCCAAAGCTGTCACTGATGGTGCATCCTCATCCAGACCTCTGCTTCCCTATCCAGACCACCCAGGGAGGTCCCACCCTCCCGGCTGTGCCCAGATGAGGGGGAGCCCACACTCTCTCTACTGACCCTGCAGTGAGGGTGAGAGGTGCCGTGTGTCGAAACGAAACACATGTATAAACCCTTGAGCTACTGGCTTGACCTTGGGCTGAGTGTTGGTCAACACCATTTTCTCCACTGTAATTCATCAACTGGGAGAGGCAGTGGGGCAGTAAGTTCATGTAATGTACCAAGGACATCGAAGAACGGCTAAACCCTGGCGTTAACAGCAGGTGTCACAGAAGGGCAGCACAGAAAACGTGAAACCATTGCATCTACACAATGCAATACATGCACCATCTTACTCAAATTCAAGTTTAAAGAAAAGATTTTAAAACTAGCATTCAGGCTGGGCGCACTGGCCCACACCTGTAATCCCAACACTTTGGGAGGTCAAGGTGGGCAGACCACTTGGGGTCAGGAGTTCAAGACCAGCCTGGTCAACATGCTGAAACCCCGTCTCTACTGAAAATATAAAAATTAGTTGGGCTTGGTGGTACATGCCTGCAGTCTGAGCTACTTGGGAGGCTAAGGCAGGAGAATTGCTTGAACCTGGAAGGCGGAAGTTGCAGTGAGCCAAGATGGTACCACTGCACTCCAGCCTCCGTGACAGAGCAAGACTCCATCTCAAAAAACATAATTAAAAATAAAAATTAGCATTCAGTGCTATACAGATTGAAGAACAGTCTCTTAAAAGCGAAGAGCTGGCCAGGCACAGTGGCTTACGCTTATAATCCCAGCACTTTGGGAGGCTGAGGCGGGTGGATCATTTGAGGCCAGAAGTTCAAGACCAGCCCGGCCACCATGGTGAAACCTCGTCTCTACTAAAAATACAAAAATTAGCTGGGCTTGGTGGTGCACGCCTGTAATCCCAGCTAATTGGGAAGCTAAGGCAAGAGAATTGCTTGAACCTGGGAGGCAGAGGTTTCAGTGAGCCGAGATAGTGTGCCACCACACCACTGCACTCCGTCCTGCCCAACAGAGCAAGACTCCACCTCAAAAAGAAAAAGTTAAAAATTAAAATAAAGGCAGGTCGTAGTGGCTCATGCAAGAGAATCGCTGGAACCCAGAAGGCAGAGGTTGCAGTGAGCCAAGATCGTGCCATTGCATTCCTGCCTGGGGGACAGGGTGAAACTCTACCTCAAAAAAAAAAAAAAAAAAGAAAAGAAAAAGGCCAGGCACAGTGGCTCACACCTGTAATCCCAGCACTTTCGGAGGCCAAGGCACGCAGATTATGAGGTCAGAAATTCGAGACCAGCCTGGCCAACATAGTGAAACCCTGTTTCTACTAAAAATACAAAAATTAGCTGGGCATGATGGTGCTCGTCTATAATCCAGCTACTTGGGGAGGCTGAAGCAAGGAGAATTGCTTGAACTCGGGAGGCGACGGTTGCAGTGAGCCGAAATCGTGCCGCTATACTCCAGCCTGGGCGACAGTGCAAGACTCCGTCTCAAAAAAAAATTGTTTTTTCATTAAAATTAAAATTAGCATTCAGTGCTATACAGAATGAAAAATAGTCTCTTAAAATTGAAGAGCTGGCTGGCACGGTAGCTCATGCCAGTAATATCTGCACTTTGGGAGGCTGAGGCAAGTAGATCACTTGAGGCCAGAAGTTTAAGACCAACCTGGCCAACATGGTGAAACCCCACCTCTTCTAAAAATACAAAAATTAGCTGGGCATGTTGGCAGGCACCTGTAATGCCAGCTACTTAGGAGGCAGACTCCGTCTTTTAAAAATTAATTAATTAATTAATTAAAGGCCAGGCGCAGTGGCTCATGCAAGAGAATTGCTTAAACCCAGGAGGCAGAGGTTGTAGTGAGCCAAGGTCATGCCATTGCACTCCAGCCTGGGGGACAGGGTGAGACTCCATCTTAAAAAGAAAAAAAAAAAATTACTATTAGTATTCAGTGCTATACACAATAAATAATAGCCTCTTAAAAGTGAAGAGCCGGCTTGGTGGCTCACGCCAGTTTGGGTGGCTGAGGTGGGCAGATCACTTGAGGCCAGGAGTTTGAGACCAGCCTGGCCAACATGATGAAACCCCATCTTTACTAAAAATATAAAAATTAGCCGAGCATGTTGGCAGGCGCCTGTAATCCCAGCTACTGGGGAGGCTGAGGCAGGAGAATCACTGGAACCCGGAACGTGGAGGTTGCAGTGAGCCGAGATCATACCATTGAACTCCAGCCTACCCAGCAAGAGCAAAACTCCAGCCAGGTGCAGTGGCTCATGCCTATAATCCCAGCACTTTGGGAGGCTGAGGCGGTCAGATCACTTGAAGTCAGGAGTTTGAGACCAGCCTGGCCAACGTGGTAAAACCTGTCTCTACTAAAAATACAAATACTTGCCAGGTGTCGTGGCACGAACCTGTAATCCCAGCTGCTCGGGAGGCTGAGACAGGAGAATTGCTAGATCCTGGAAAGGGGTTGTTGCAGCGAGCCAAGGTCACGCCATTGCACTCCAGCCTGGGAGACAGGGTGAGACTCCATCTCAAAAAAAAAAAAAAAATTAGCATTCAGTGCTATAGAGAATGAAAAATAGTCTCTTAAAAGTGAAGAGCTAGCCGAGCACAGTGGCTCACGCTTGTAAGCCCAGCACTCTGGGAGGCCAAGGTGGGCGGATCATTTGAGGTCAGAAGTTCAAGACCAGCGTGGCCAACATGGTGAAACCCTGTCTCTACTAAAAGTACAAAAAGTAGCTGGGCATGGTGGTACACACCTGTAATCCCAGCTACTTGGGAGTCTAAGCCAAGAGAATCGCTTGAACACGGGAGGCGGAGGTTGCAGTGAGCCAAGATTGTGCCATTACACTCCAGCCTGGGCAACAGAGGGAGACTCCATCTCAAAAAAAAAAAAAAAGGTGAAGAGCCCAGCCTGATGGGGTAGTTCATGCCTGTAATCCCAGTACTTTGGGAGTCCGAGGCAGGCGGATCACCTGAGCCTAGGAGTTCTAGACCAGCCTGGATGACATGATGAAACCCCATCTCTACAAAAAAATACAAAAATTATCCAGGCCTGGCTATAGTCCCAGCTGCTCAGGAGGCTGAGACAGGAGAATTACTTGAACCTGGGAAGCAGAGGTTACATCGAGCCAAGACCATGCCATTGCTCTCCAGCCTGTGAGACAGAGCAAGACCCTGTCTCAACAACAACAAAAGCGTCCAGGGGAAGGAGCTGTAAATGTCTTACTCCCTGGATGGCGGTAAGACACAGGAAGCGTGTGGTGTCTTCTTCTCTCTTCCCTGAGCACCAAGCACAGAGTTGGGTGCATTTCCAGCCCTCAGTCCTTCCTTGCTGAGATGTTAGACTGGAAGATGAGAAATGGCATAGTTTTAAGGCATCAATCAGTCTAGCCCAGGAACTCTCATGTCACAAGTTCAGTGAACTCGTTACTTTGGCCTCTGCTGCAGGGGACAGCAGCATGATGTTTCAGAACCTGACTTTGGAGTCAAGCAAGGCGTGGATTTTAAGCGCAGCTCTGCCAGCTGCTAGCTGTTGGTAATTTACTTAGCTTCTCCCTGCCTCAGTTTCCCATCTGCAGAGGTTCCGCACTTCATAGGTGTGCTGTGAGGATTCAGCCATAAAGCACGGACAAAGCCCGACGCCCGGAGTCACCGCTGCTTTTCCTCTCTTGGTGCAGCGTGGGTCACCCTCACTGGGAGGGCAGGGCAAGGAAGTCTTGTATTGGTTTCCCTAAACAGGGGCTTGATGCCCGGAC